CCCTGGGATGGAGGACCGTCACCCAATGCCACCCAGGGTCCCCGATGTGGGGCAAGCTCTGAGGGGCCTGTCCAAGAGGTTTTGATGGTTCCATAGTTCTGAATTACTGTTGATCTTGTCACTCCAAGCACAGTGAAATCTCTCCAGAATCTACTGGTTGACATAGTCCGCCTTAGAGTCTCTGTTTGCCCAGATATTCACTGCCAACACTTGGCTGGGGTAGTTGATCAATTAGTTCTGTCCTTCATCCTCTTTATGGTACTGGGTGTCCTCTGCAGACTCCAGTGTATTGCCATATCCTCCATGTGCACCTGGATATGCTGTCCACTCCTTTGTCTGAGCCACTGAAAAGGCCCATACACATGCACTCCACGGTCAGCTATGGAACCTGAAGTTCTCTCCATGGTTGGGGTTCTGAGTCCAGCAGTTCAGTTGGGGAGATCCCCAAAGAAACTTCATCTGAGGTGAACCAAGACCTAATTCTTGTGTGTGCTTGGCCAGTACAGGGTCTGGCACAGTCTGTAGCCGCAGTTGGCTTATGCATATTCTGGTGGTTGCAATTGCTGGGTCAGTTGTGTCTCCAGCTTTGTCTTCTTTTAAAACTTTTTATTTGAAAGGCAGAATTACACAGAAATGGAGAAAAAGAGATTTTTCATGCACTGATTTGCTCTCCAAATGGTCACAGTGGCTGAACTGAGCCTGTCTGAAGCCAGGATCCAGGAGCTTCTTCTGAGTCTCCCACATGGGTGGAGGGGTGCAAGGATTTGAGCCATCTTCTGCTGCTGTTTCAGACCATAAACAGGAAGCTGGATCAGAAGTGGAATAGCTGGAACATGAGCCAGTGCCCATATGGCTCTGCCAAGGTGGAGGCCCAGCCTAGGATGTCATGGCACTGACTCCAGTGATGTCTTCTTTGATATGAGATAAAAGAGTATTTTTTTGTCTAATACAAGGTGAAGATAAGATCAGAAAATCTGAGATGATGGTTAAGACATGATAAGAAATACCCAAGAGTTGGTACCCATAGGCTAGAATTTGGAGGGATGGTGAAGGTGGAAAATAAGTTACCAAATAATACCTGAAAAATTCTGTCAGGTGTTCAGGTTGCTGTAACCTTGTGCAGAATTTTACCACTCTTTTGGAAGGCCTATAAACTTATGGATTGTGTTACACTATTAGCTTGTAGAATGCACTTGATGCAACATATTTTATGTTAGAAGAAGATACTTAATGCAAAAATTCTGTATTCAACCCCAGATTTTATCTTTAACATCTAGTCTTATGATACTGAAGTTGATTTGCTTCCACCCAAGCCTCCGTTTCCCCATGTACAAAAGAAAGATGTTGGGTCAAATCAAAATTTCTCTAAAGTCATTCTGTAGGCTGGTTGCAGCTGTTTTGCGGACTAAAACAGGTTTTTCATGACTAATGTTACTTGCAATATTGCTGTGTTAAAAAAGCATTTTTAACTTGAAGGCTTCTCGAATCCCTTAATATGTGAATTCACCTTAACACGACTCAGGTGACCACTTACTTGAAAACAGAAAATGCATCAGACAGAGTAGCATGTAAACGTCTTTCAGCTTCAAAATAGTATAATTTTTCTCAATAAAGTTTGAAAATAGAGATATAAAGGGAAGCAGAATCAATGGTTGGCTCATTTGAGTTCTTTCCTGTAGACTTGATGCAATGACTGGTCTTTAACGGCCGTGGTTAAGTACCTTAAAGCAAATGGGCACCATGGGGTAATTTCTTCAGCAAAGAATTAGCGGAGAAATCAATTGGACTGAAACCAGTTGAAGGAAGTTGTTCAGTAAGAGCAGCTCAAATATTTCACTTACATTAATGATGTGACTGGCAGTGAAACCAACTGGCAAAATCAACTGCAGAATAGCATTAACTTGAGGGTTTTTTTTTTTTTTTTTTTTGAGAGGGGTAGAGGGACATAGTCTGTCAATATTCCAGCTAGGGAGAAGACTTTCCATCTGCAACTCTGGAGTAACAAAATCCCACTCAGGATCCTGAGCTGTGTGTTGCATTTGGCTTTGCAGCAGAGCATGGGGTAAGGTTGCTGTGATCCCATACATGCTGGGTGGTGGAAGTCCCAGTGCCTGATTCCAGGCCGCTCTCCACACTGGGAAGATGTGACTGCAAGACAACTTTAGCTGCCTGTATCTACCTTCAGAGAGAAAGCACTGTTCCTTTGAACTAAGCAGTCTTCTTTCTCTATTTAAAAGAGTCAACATCTGATTGATCTGCCATCTACAAGTGTGGTCACAGCTACAAGCTCTCCACACCAATAATTTGCATCAAAGGAGAATTAATTTCATGGCAACAACGTGTATTTAAGAGTGTAATGTGCAGGGGACACTGTCAGAATCATTCATGGATTTAGAACCAATGTCCATGCCTGGCCCTATCCCCTGGAGAGTCCAGTGGAGTAGATTTAATGTGGGTGTAAGCATCTGCATTTTAAGTAGCTCCATCACTACAACCTACAATGTCTATCAATAGGACTAGACACACAAATGTGGCTTATTCCTATAATAGGAAGCCAGATTCCAGCAAGTAAGTGCCTATTGAGACCTAGACCCAGCAATGTGGATGGGTCTTCCAAACAGTAGGTTAAGTGAAGAAAAAAAATCATTATAGAATATACAGTATAGAATCCCACTGTATGAAGTTCAGAAAAGGGTACAAATATTAAATGATGTTAGCAATCACAACTGTAGCTGATTCTGGGAAGCGGGACAGGGAGTGGAATTGACAGCAAAGGTCCGCAGGGTAGTTCCTGCGGGGTGATAAACAGACGGGTTTTGGGGAATCGTCTGTGCAAATGTGCTCAATTCCAAAACCCAAGATGCTCAGTCTTTAAGACATGTGAGTTTTATTGTACGTAATTTGTACCTCATTTAAATAAAACAGGCTAACTTCCTCATAAGTCCCCAAATTAGAGTCCTGCACCTGTGCCATCGTCCAAGAATGATCATCTCCACACATGGGAGGGACCTAAATCAGCCATAGCTTCAAGGAATGCCACACTGCCCCATTCCCTGCTTTACATAACAGGGTTCCTCGTCTTCATTCACTTTCTAGGATCTTCTCCACTCTTTCTGCCTCTTAGATTGTAGAACCCTAGGAAGCCAGCTCATCAGGAAACCCACAGGGCTCACAGCACTGTGCTCAGCCCAGCAGCCACAGTCCCAGGAGAAGCGCCAACCCTTCAGGGCCGCTCTGAAGGAATCTTGTGTTCCTGAGCATCTACCATGTACCAGACATAGTTGACAGCATTACTGGGACTGTCTCCTTTTCTTTTGAAAATAACCCCAAGGAGGAATCGATATTTTTTACCAGCACCCAGTTTTTCAGGTGAGGAAGATGTACAAAGGCCCAAATGTTGGTGACCAGGCTACGATAACGAAATGCCATATATTGGGCACCTTATAAAACAATGGAAATTTGTGTCTCACCATTTTGGAGACTGGCTCATTTAAGACAAAGATGTGATGGTTTGGCGAGGGCCAGGTTTTGGTTCTTTGGCCAAAGGTTCATATCTTCTGGCTGTGGCCCCACAGGGTGCAAGGGGTTGTCTGGGCCTCTGGAGTCTCCTCTAAGGGCACTAACCTTATTCCACTCTCATAATCTAACCACTTCTGGAAGGTCCCAATGCCCAGTACCTTCACCTTGAATGTTAAGATTTTAACGTGTGAATGGAAGGACATGAACATTCATATCGTAACTGGTGATATTAGGTTGATAAGACATAGAGGCAGGGTTAGAACAGTGATTACAAAAAAAAACAAAAAAAAAAAAAACAAAAAAACCCCAAAACAAACAGGTTTTAAAATGCGAAGGCGTTTTCCTTTTAGGGCCTGAGGAGAAAAAGGTAGAGCTGGCTATTGGAGGTACAGGCCTATGTGAAACAGGCGCTTGCCCAGTTGCCAAAATTCACCCTAGCCAGCCCCACACACTCAGGCCACCCTGTGTTCTCTCGTGCACCCCTTCTGGTAGCTTAAAAGTGGCAATCTCATGGCGACTTTGATGCAACTTAGAAAACAAGCAAGCAAGGAGGGGATGCAGATACTTTTGATTTTGGAATTCTGGCCCCGTGACATCAAGGGAGCAGGATCCCATATGCGGGTGGTGAAGCGCAGGGAAAAGCAGTGGGGCGGTGTGTCTGTGTTTGTCGGCGCGCCTTACGTGGAGGGGGATTGCTGTACCCAGCGCCAGGCGCTGGAGGAGGAGGAAGAGGTAGCTGAGATCTGAATAATTGATTCTTTGTCGCACCAGACGCCCGGGAGTGGGCAGAGCGTGGTTTCAGCACCACGGATAGCGGCGCGCGCCGCCCGCAGGTGCCGAGGTCGCCAGCCAGACACCCGTCGTGGCCTGGTTCGCCTCCGTGAGCTCTGGGAGCGGGTCTCTGCGTTCCGTGCCGCCGCCTAGGGACTGCGGGGTCTGCCTCGGCCGCCTACGGGGAGGGCGCTTGCGGGCGGAAGACGCTTCAGCTTGCCGGAGCTCTAAGCTTCTTCAGCGTGCGCGGGGGCTGCTGCGTCTTACTGGCTAAGAACAAGTCCCCAAGTTGGCGTGGTGGGCGCCCGTGCCTTCCTCCCCCTCTTCCTTGGAGGCGACAGCAGCAGAAGCACGCCCCGGGAATCCGGCTTCGCCAGACTGTGAAGCAGGGTGGCCAGGCACTGTCCGGACTGCCGCCGGGAAGTGGGGAGCCAGAGCGGAGCTGGCCCCGCAGCCAAGGGCCGAGAGGGAGCTGCCTTCCCCCCGCCCGCTCCTTTCTCGGCCGGGGACCGCGGGGATCCCCGGCCACACGCGCGCGCGCGCTCCCACACACATTCTCTCTCACACACACTGGCCTCAGACACCAGCCCGGCGCTGGGCTGCGCGCAGGGTGCTCGGGCGCGCTCAGAGGACCCGGCGGCTGCGGTCCGGAGTGGGTCAGAAAGCCGAGCTAAGGCTCTTGGAGGGAGGCTCCGAGGGCTTGGCCGGACCATGGGGCCGGGTGAGCGATGAGGGTCGCGGCCGCTGCCATCAAGCCCTGGAGATGACCAGGAGCGGCCACTGCTGAGAACTATGTGGAGAGAGGCTGCGGTGAGTGCTGGCGCGGGACGCAGAGCCTGGGGGGCCCCCTCAGGAAGGGGGCGGGCGGCAGGACCACCGGTGGGTCGCTGCGTGGGAATCATCGCACCTCCCTCGGGGATCCGGGACCGCGGGAGCAGGCGTTCTTCCCTCCCCCTCTCCTCCTGCCGGCTCGTCGCAAACTCAGCCAGCGCCCCCCCTCCGCTTTCCTCCTCTTTTTCTCCCTACCCCCATCCCCACCCCCCAGCAGCTTCTGGTCGCACAACTCCCAGCAGCAGGCGCTGGGGAGGTGGATGGGGTGAGGGTGGAGGTGCCCGGTTAAGCTTCTCGTGGGTGGCCAACCTGGGCTCCCATTCCTCGGTGCGTCCTGGAGCGGTGCTCCCGTGGTCAGCCACCGAGACTCAGGAGCCGCACTGGGGGCAGCTCGGCACGGAGCCTCAGCATCCTCTCTCGCTTTGAGCCCCCTCCCGGGCGCGTGTAGGGGCTGTGAGCATTGCAGACTGCGGTCTTCCCCCGCCCCCTCCTCCTGCCGGTGGGCTGACCCTGCCTCTCCATCTCTCCACCGCCCATCAGAGCCCTGCTGCAGAGCCTCCGGCTGGGATAGCCGCCCCCCGTGGGGGCGATGCGGACAGCGCGGGACAGCTAGGGGAGCGCGTGGGGGCCGCAGGATGCGGGAGCCCGCTAAACCCGGTGGCTGCTGAGGCGGCCGAGATGCTCGTGCACGCAGCGCGCCCCACTGCATCCTCGACCTTCTCCGGCTACAGGTACGCCCCAGAGGGAGCTGTGGGCTGGCTGAGCCGGGAGGAGGGAGCCTGGCTCGCAGGGAGAGCGGGAGAAGGATCCGGGAGAGGGAGAGGAAGCGGGAGAGGGAGCCCAGGAGCCAGGCTCGGGAGGAGCACCAGAGGGCGCTGCGGATCCGCGCTTGGGGGCGCTCACCCCAAGAACGCCCAGGCCGGCGCGACTTGGCTCCAACTTCCCCGGGCTCTGGCGGCGCCCAGCCCAAGGGGCGCGCGTGCACGACGATGCTGGTGTTGCAGGCACGCGCGACTGTGCACCTGGCGCGCTACATGTGTGTGCACCGCTTGGCCATGGGCACCGCTACGGCGGCTTGTGGGTGTGCGCCGAAAAGCGCGCGTGTCTGTGAGCGTGTGCAGCCCTCTGTCCACGTGCATCTAAGAGCTGGCAGCAGGACCCGCAGTGGGAAGGCTGGGGAGGGGCTGCGCTGCCCACGTTCTTGTGAGAGCTTCTGGGGAGCCCACCTTGCCCCTCCGCTACCACGCTTGTTCTCTGCCAGCTCCCACGCTCTGGCCCGTGGGGTGACGCGCCTACTCTCCGGAATTCTGCGTTGCATACAGCGCGCGTGAGAGAGGGTTTTCTGTGTGTGTGTGTGTGTGTGAGAGAGAGAGAGAGAGAGAGACAGAGAGAGAGAGAGAGAGAGAGAGAGAGAGAAGGCACGCGGGCCTGCAGGGGTGGATCTACAGGCCCTCTGCACGAGATGGGGCGGGCGCCAAGTTCCCTCAAGCACCGCGGTGCCTGGGCCCACCACTGAGCGCCCCCTCTCATGAGCGCTTGGGGTGTACCCTGCTACGGGTGCCACACGCGGAGCGAGGTGTGTAACGCACCGGGCAGGTTCTCTGGGGGCGGGGTCAGCCCACCTGCTCCGCAAGCCAGCTGGGATGCAGAGCCCCTGCCCCACCTCCGCAGACCTATCCAGTCCGTGGTCAGCATCATTTGAGCAGGGGGCGGGGTCGCGAACTTCTGTTCCCTGTACCCCGGGTGGGGGCCGGGCTTGTCCATGGCTGGCCAGGAGCTCCGGGTCTGTGGTCTGCAACCGATTTGGAGAATGTAGTGGGCGGCGTAGACCGGGTCGGAATGGGGAGACGCAGAGAGAAGGAGAGAGAAGGCGGCAGGCTGCTCCAATGAACAGATGTAGAGAAATAGCTTGAATTGGACTTGTAAATGGAGTTGCAGATGGGCCGAGGGAGGTGGGTGGCGTCGGGGATGAGGGATGAGAATTCCTCGTGTCTGGGCCTTTGGCTTACGACTTACGTGGCCCTTCCTCTCCCTCTTCACCCTGCAGGGACCGTAAGTGGCGACTATGGGCAGACTGGGCTACTGGACCCTGCTGGTGCTGCCGGCCCTTTTGGTCTGGCGCGGTCCGGCGCGGAGCGCGGCGGCAGAGAAGGGTCCCCCCGCGCTGAACATTGCGGTGCTTCTGGGTCACAGCCACGACGTGACAGAGCGCGAACTTCGAAATCTGTGGGGACCAGAGCAGGCGGCGGGGCTACCCCTGGACGTGAACGTGGTGGCACTGCTGATGAACCGCACCGACCCTAAAAGCCTCATCACGCACGTGTGTGACCTCATGTCGGGGGCGCGCATCCACGGCCTGGTGTTTGGGGACGACACCGACCAGGAGGCCGTGGCCCAGATGCTGGATTTTATCTCCTCCCAGACTTTCATCCCCATCCTGGGCATCCATGGGGGCGCATCTATGATCATGGCTGACAAGGTAAGGCCAGGAGGCCGTGGGCTGCCTCCCTCGAGGTGGGGGCCTTGCCGGGCAGACCCACCGCAGCAGTCCTGGGTGACTTCTGGGATGCGTTTTGATCTGGAGCACACGGTGGGCGGGCTGGCCGGGGGTCTGGTCCAAGTGAGAGGCAGGTTATACCTCCCCAAGGTGGAAACAAGTGGAGATGCCGTTTGCCCTGGTTCCGAAAGTGGGGCACTCCGAGGCAGTTTGGTGTAAGGGTTGGGGGAAGGTAGAGGTGGGATGGAGAGGGTGGCCGCCAGCAGCTTGGAAGTTCTCAGGCAGCACAGGGACCAGCTGGGGAGTGCATCAGACACTGTGGCTCTGACCCCACTGTGGCTCTGACCCCACTGTGGCCTATAACCCCACTTTTGCCTGGTTGTCCTGTGCAGATACATCTTGCCTTTCCTTTTTGTGGTGACTGAAAGTTGTTTTCAAAGGTATCAGATGTTGAGTTTGCTATGGAGTCAAATGCAAAGAAGTAGGTAATGCAACCAATGGGAACAGAAATGCAGTGGTTCCCAGACTCTGCACTCGGTTTTGGGGCAGAGGTAGGAAGCGTGAGCAGCTCTGGGGTCCAGGAGCACATTCATGTGCTTGCTGCAAGGCAGGGGCGAAAATGGAAAGAAGTCACTGGAGATCTGAGACCCGGAGTTCAGAGGGCCTGGCACTGTCCTTACGTGTCCCCATGTGGGACTCATGCTTCCCAGCAGGGGCTCCAAGAAGGCCCTAGGATGGAGGAGCTGGCTCCAGAACATGGGTCTCCATGCTACCGTCGAGGAGCTTCAGAAGGAGGGACTGCATGCCCGAATCTCCTGGCTTACAGTGGGAGGGCAAGATGGCTCAAGGGACAGCCTGGCAGCACTTGTTGGGGTTGGAAGGCTGGGGAGAGATGTAATGGGGCCTGCTTCGAGCAGGCCGACTCCAGTGTGGAGAGGGAAAGGAAGGGTGGAAGGGAAAAGTGAGGAATGAATCCAAAGGCAAAGGATCGGAAGTACAGGTGTGCTGGATCTCTGTGTAACCCCCAGGAAGTGGGCGTGGAGAAGAGCAGGGAAGAGTGAGTCGCTGGTGTGCCATGGTCCTCAGACGTGAGACCCCCTTGGAGTGAATCTTAGAGGGCAGGAGGCATTATGGTAGACAAAGCGGACATTTGTCATAGCACTTTCCGTGGGATGCTCTCAAAACGCTTTTGTATTCATCAAATCAGATTCTGCCTCTGCCTCGGCAGTTCCCACTGGCTCCTCTGGGAACCGTATTAATTTTTTCAGGTCTCCAGGGCTGGCAGCGCATGCACAGTTGAAGTATCCAGTGCATGTGGTATCTTATTAAACATTCATCCTAAGTGGTCTGTGGCCTAGCCAGAATTCCTCCCTGTGGCGGATCATTTTCCATGCCACCTTCTGGTTTGAGGGGGTTCGTTTTTGGGGAGAGAGGGATGAAGACAGTAGGGAATACCCGTGTGTCTCCCCAGAAATGTGGAGGACGTTTCAGAACTGGAAAGAGACTTGGGATCAATAAGCATCCATGAACTTCCAGGTGAAATGACAGAGGAAAGCAAAAGGACACCGAGTCAGCAGTGAAAGTAGCTGTGTGACTTTCCGGTCCGCGTCCACGATTTCTTAGATGCCACCCTGTGGAGCCCAGGCTTTAACGTTGCCATGCCACCTTCAGGAGGGACAAGGCGTCCCTGTCGCCTGTCTTCTCCAGGGAGAGAGGCAGTGCAGCTGAGATGAGCAGGGAGCAAGCCATCTGACACAGGCAGGCGCGCAGAGGGAGAGCAACCGTTTCCAGCAGGGCCTGGCGGATGATTGCTTGCCATCTAAATATTGTCAGTGATCTCTCCTGCCTTCTGAGGTTTTTATTAAAGGAACCACATGTGAAAGCAAAGCAGTAGAGTGTCCTGAGAGCGAACTTTCTGAGATTACCAGAGCCCAGCACGATGCACCGGAGAAATCTGTCTGCAAGTGTGTCAGAGAAGGTGGCTTGAGGGTTAGGCTGGAAGAAGGGCTTCCTGTTCTCTTGCTTCTGAGTCTGTGGGGACAGGTGTGTGGTTCAGGTTCTCACGGGGCTCCCCCATCCCACCGCAGGCAGAGAAGTAGGGGCGGAGAGCAGGCCCGCTGGTGAGCAGCCCGCTAGTAAACCTTGACCAGCGACTGTCAGGATCTGGTCAAGCAGAGCTGGAAGAGGGCATTGGCAACTGTGATTTGAGGAGCCTAGGGAGAAGAGGCCAAAGTATTCCTTTTCTCCCTTGGAGTGAAATTACCTTCTAGAGGGATGGACAAATGTAACCTCGCCTAGGAGTAGGAGCAACAAAAGAAAAAAAAATCGATATGGCAAGAGGGAGAGGGGGCAGTCATGATTAGAGATGTCAGTGGGGGTGGACGGATGAGTCCATTGGCTCAAAAATCGTCGTAAAGAACAAAACCCTTGTTTGAGACCTTCAGAGGTGATCTGGAAGAGCTCACGGTGGTCCTGGTTATGCTGAAACTGTGCAGGAGTTAAGGGAAGGTAGCAGGGTTTCAGAGAAGCCAGTGGAGAGAGCTGAGGGGCTGTGTCAGGTCCCAGGTGTGGAGTGGGCTGATGATGCTGATGGTATTGAGAGCAGTTGGCTTAGAGGATATTTCGGGAAACCTGGATCTATTTAAAAAGGAAAGAGCTTGTCTGAGAAGTGAACAGCCCTCCCTTCCATTGGTGACACATCTTCTGGACTTGTGCGTTTGCCACCTGTTTCATTTTGAGTTGAACGTTGAGCACCAATTATTAGGCTCCATAGAGGCAGTCATGGGATGTCTTCTAAAGTGCTGCCGTGTTTGGGTGTGGTGCGGTGTTCCTGCCACAGTCCCAACGTCCCTAAATGGACCAGATCTCTCGGCCTCCCTACTAGGATGATGCTGATTTGGCAAGTCCCTCCAAACCCACTCATGCTTTCATCTCTATACTTGGCAACAGGGGGTGGTGCACTGTGGATAACAAAGGTAGTGAATTTGGTTATCCACCAGTGTGGACACCCATCCATCACCTTTGTACCTCCCAGTCAGTCTATTGACCCTTGAATCAAAGAACAAAGTCTTATAAAGAATAGGAATGGTGTTAACTTGGCAGGTTTTTGTGGGTGCTAACTTACAATGGAGGTGTTAATTTTTTGCTTGTATCTGTGGGTGGTCTTGCAAGATAATTAAATTAGAGGTGAAAATAATGCTTGTGTAGATAAGCAGCATTTTTTGCTTGGCCATTTTGAAGCTGTTGGATAGAAGGAACTGAGGCTGTGGAATTGTCGCCAGCAAGTGGAGCCTGTGGACTGGAGCTTGGGCTTGCTGCCCAGTGTCCTGATCCTGCTCTGCTTCTCTCTCTGTTCTAACCGACCTGTGGAGGGCAAGGCAGGTCTTAAATGTTAGTGACATCCACCTGTGGCAGGTGCTGTTGGAGTTTTACAGTACACGAGTCTGTCTCCCTTCCCCCTACTAGAGTGTAAGTCCCTTAAGGACAGGTTTTTAAAAAGTGTATCTATGTGTATTTGAAACATCAAATGCCCCTTCTCCATGGACAGCTTATAAAAATAATGTCTTCGCATTGTAGAGCACTTAGAAAGCACATTAAAATTTAAAGAACAAAATAAAATTCTTGTTCTAAATCTTATTGCCAGGGATAACCACTGCTGACATAGTACATTTCCTTCTAAGGTCTGTTTATTTAGTTACAAGTTAAGAACTGTACTATCGCTATGTGGTGTTGCTTTTGACTTTGTTCTCTCGAGGTTTTTTTTTTTTTTTTTAAAGGTTCTGTTTTGTTGTTTGATTTTGGAAGCATCTCAACCACTCTCTGTCATGTGTTTCTTCATCATTATCTCTGTTCTCTCTGGAGAGACACACACATATATGCCTCAAACGGTCTTTGAGAAATTCAAGTAAGAGAAGAGTCTGTTTTGGTTCAAAAACACATCGAAGACTGGGCCAGCACTATGCTGTAAGTGGGTAAAGCCACTGCCCGTGATGCCAGCATCCCCTGTGGGTGCCAGCATCCCCTGTGGGTGCCAGTATCCCCTGTGACGCCAGCATCCCCTGTGACGCCAGCATCCCCTGTGGGTGCCAGCATCCCCTGTGGGTGCCAGCATCCCCTGTGACGCCAGCATCCCCTGTGGGTGCCAGCATCCCCTGTGGGTGCCAGTTTGCGATGGGGGCTGCCCCACTTCTGATCCAGCTCCCTGCTAATGTCCTGGCAGAGCAGCAGCAGAGCACCTGAGGGCCCGTGCTGCCCACAGGGGAGACCTGCTGGCAGCTCCTGGCACTCGGCTCTGGTCTGGCTCAGCTGCAGCCGTTGGTGTCTCCTCAAAGTCAACTAGTGGATTGAAGATCTTGCCTCGCCCTCTCTTTGTAACCTTCTCAAGTAAAAACAAAACAAAAAAGAAAACAACCAAACATTGACACTTATGCGTGTGAGGAAGTCTTGTAAAAGCTCATGAAAAAGGTTTATTACGAAAATATTACGCTTCGCATTTCAAAGCGCTTTTTTTTTTTTTAAAGATTTATTTTTATTATTTTTTATTGGAAAGGCGGATATACAGAGAGGAGAGAGAGAGAGGAAGATCTTCCATCCGATGATTCACTCCCCAAGTGAGCCGCAACGGGCCGATACTATGCCGATCCGAAGCCAGGAGCCTCTTCCGGGTCTCCCACGCGGGTGCAGGGTCCCAAAGCTTTGGGCCGTCCTCAACTGCTTTCCCAGGCCACAGGCAGGGAGCTGGAAGGGAAGCGGGGCTGCCGGGATTAGAACCGGCGCCCATATGGGATCCCAGGCGTGCAAGGCGAGGACTTAACCACTTGCGCCACCGCGCCGGGCCCTCAAAGCGCTTTTGTACCAAAATTAACTTATTGTTAATTCTGCATTCTGTGAACTTTTTATAAATTTTTTTGAGATTTATTTATTTTTTTACTTTTTAATTGGAAAGTCAGATATATAGAGAGGAGGAAAGACAGAGAGGAAGA